CTATCTATCTATGTGATATATATATATATATTATTTATACTCTGTATTCACACACAGAGACAGACACATAGACAAACAAACACACATACACGCGCGCACACGTACACACACAGAGTTTATAACAGGATTATGATGATTGATGATAATAACAGTACATGTATAATAACAGCACAAATGAATGCTACTTCTGGTACTTACAAGAGTAATAACATTGGGATAAACATTTACCAAAGAAAGATGCGCTAGTCTATTAAAATTTACATTTTATAGGGTTGGGGTGGGGTTTGGTGGGGAGCGGGGAGCGAGACGCCACACAGATATATATTATATATATAAAATAAAATAAATAAACGCTCAAGAACGAAAGACATAAAACACGTAAAATGTTTCTCGTCGTTTATGCTTACCTCCTTGCTTTGACAATTTTGTAACCAATGTTCATACGTAAAATTGTCTGGATTTGCAGTATTGAACACATTGTTAGCTTTCTCGCTTTCTCCTTCATCGTCGTAATAGGCAGCCTGCAAAAACACTATGTTGTCATCTGTCTCGCCACGAGCCACTTCTTCACTCTCTCCTTGTTCTTGCCCTTTGTTTTGTTCAGTTTCTTTTATTTTGTCTCCTTCGTTCCCTTCTGTGTTATCTTTTTCTTCTATTTGTTTTGTTGTTATATCTCCACGATTCAGGACTTCAGTAGTATCATTTCTCTCAAACCAAGCAACTTGTGTCGTGAGGTTTCTTTCTTGGTCACTACGAGAGACGGCTTGTCCAAAATCAGCAGTGATATTTGACGCCAAGTACCCAGATAATCGGTTGTCTACGTCACGGGGATTCCTACGAGGAGCTGTTGATACTGATTTTGCCTTTCGTGTCTGTTGGGTTTCATGCCGTTTTTGATGAGTTAAAAACCCGCGCATACTCATCTGAGATCTTCTATTAGTAAGGTCGTTGGTCGAGATTCGTTGTTCTCTATAATATAAAACTTTTGTAAAGCTAAGCCAACTGTTGATGTGACGCAAATTATGTCTTGAATCGTTTGACATCGTATAATCTTGATAGACACCTCCATTATGTTTAATGCCGGGGAGTGGGTTTTTTAGTTCATTTTGAAGATTCCGTTCAGTATTGTCATCGGCTTTGTTTTTGGCGTTGTGGGGAAGAAGACTACTAATAAGTACTTGAAAACTTGTACGTTTCAAAGACAGTATGTAGTGGCCGAGAGTGGAAAATTTCATGTCATATCTTTGACCTCTGGACCGGGAATGTTCGCGTGTGTTTATATTAAATACGTCGTTGGCATAACCTTTATCAGTACTTCGTTCTAAGTAATGGACACATTCTGAATACCCTAGTAGAAGGCAGCATAAAGTCAGGCAGGTCAGTTTATTCATGTTCTCGCTTAGACCGTTGGCAGAGTACTCCATGGAAACGTCTTTCGGGTCGTGCTGGTCTTGCGATGAATCTTTCTGATAGATCGATGATGATGTTGATTGGTGATGATATAACCTGTTTTGTTGAAGAAACAATAAAATTCGATTAGCAACAATTCATTTTGTTACGAGGGGGCCCTACGTTGAAGGAGATTTCAATGAGTAAACACGATCTCTGTAGTGTGTTTATTGTGTTGAGGCTGTTGCTGAATGCGTATCAATGTGTGTTAGCCGGTGGCTAACTCCAGTTGTTGTTTTTCCTGATCTTATCTTATTTTGATTTTATGGTTGCTTTTTTTGTATTTTGATGAAGCCAAACAATGCCTGTTTGAAAAAGAAACACAAGGAGAGAGAGGAGTGAAGAACTTCAGTGAAAATATTCAAAGCCAAAATCTTACACGTGTATAAAAGCATGAATGGTCGAGTTGAATCATTTACAAACTGAGGGGTTGCGTGTTTACCTTTGTGTGCATATGCATATAGGTGTGTGTTTATGTGTGTGTGTGTGTGT